TGAATTTCACCAGCGTCTAATTGGCATCAAATATAATTTCCTGCTGGACTGTTTATGCTCAGCCAAGAAGTTTTGGGGAGGGAATGGTGTGGGAGGCTTGAGGAGCAAAGAGAAGAGGTGTTCATTGAAGTAAGAAAATGTTTGTTGCTTGCTTGAGTGAGGCATGCCAAAAATATTGTGTACATTTATAAATAATTTAAATTACTTCACTATTAATTAAAAATTAAAATATAAGTTATCCATAGTATGCACAATGGATAGCATATAATAAAAGACTTTAGTTCTCCCCAGTTAGATACTTTATGATTGTTTTTATATGAGTATCACGTTTATTACTATAAACATTAACACTAATTTTATCTGGGCATCTGTCTGGCAACCTTACGGATCTGTAACACTTCCTCAGACTTTGAAGTGAGTAAAGCAAATTCAATGAGCAAAATTACTATACAAAGCTTAAACACTTGACTTGGTAGGAGGATTGTAGAGCCATTCTTAGGTGCATTACTATAAGAATAGCAGGTGATAAGAAATTTAGCATGGTACATAGGAAAATATGTTGGCTTTTGAGTCAAAGAATTTGGGTTTTAATCCCATCTCTGCCACTTACTACCTGTTTGACCTTGATCGAATCGTGTGACTTCTGTAGTTCTCTGTTTCCCCCTTTCTATAGTTAGGGGATTGGGTTAGAGTAGGGGTGGGGAACCTGTGGCCTCAAGGCCACATGTGGCCCTCTAGGTCCTCAAGTGCGGCCCTTTGACTGAATCCAAACATTAAGGAACAAATCTCCTTAGTAAAAGTATTTGTTCTGTAAAACTTGGACTCAGTCAAAAACCTGAACCGAGGACCTAGAAGACCACATGTGTCCTTGAAGCCACAGGTTCCCCCCCCCTTTGGTTAGAGGGTCTCTAAGGTGATTCTATAGAAAACTAATTATTGAAGGAAAATTAAAATTGTAAATTCAGATAGACTTATTAAAATATTAGCATTCTGTGGTCCTTCTGGAACAAATAACCTTTTGCATCTCAGCAGCCTCTACAGCTGGTATTTGATTACAGTGCTGTACAGGTATTTAACATCTGTAATCTGATAACAAGTCAACATAGAAAAGTTTATTTAGGGTTAGGAAAGTATGAAATAAAGAGTTTTATGAAATTGATTATTTTTATTTTTAAAAAAATTTATTGTTTTTTTTTTTTGCATTGCTTCAATTTCTCCCTTTATCCCTCTTCCAGAGACCAATTTTACATAACAAGTAATTTTTTTTAAAGAAAAAGAAGAGAAAAATTATAAAAATGAGTCAATATATGGGGAAAAAACCATGAGAATATATGCAGGTTTACTCCTTGTAGACCCCCTACCTCTATAATGAACTGCCCAAAGGTGTCTTCTTATATCTGTTCTTTGGAACCAAGCTTGTTCTTTGTAATTTTCAACAAATATTTAATTTTTGTGGTGATCTTTCCATTTCCAGTGTGCTATTCATTGTGGACATCGTTTTCTTGGCTCTGCTTACGTACCCCTTTCATCATGTCATATAAGTCTCTTCATACTTCTGTTACCATCACATATGGTAGTTAAGAGGTAATTAGTGACTCTGGAGAGAGCAATTTGAGTTGAGTGAGGACAGTTGTCAGATCACAAAGGGTCTTGGGGTGAGTGAGAAGAAATGAATTTGAGGTAGTAGTGTAGACAGCTTTTTCATGGACTTTGCCTAAGGAAGGGAGAAGAGATAAAACACTGTAGCTTTAGGGGAATGTAGGCTATTGTAAAGGTTTTTGAAAGTTGAAGGAAATTTGGGCATGTTTGAAAAGCTGCAGATTAGAGAGGGAGAGGATGAGAGAAAATTATTGAGGATGTAATTTAATTCGCTGGAGAAGATAGGAGGGGATGGATTCAAGTGTACATTTATAGGGGCTGGCCTTCTCAGGAAGAGAGGCCACCTCAGTGGAAAGGAGATCAGAATGAGGGATGATGTTAATGGGTGTTTTAAGGAAGAGAAAGGGGGAAGAAGGAACTCATGTTGAATGACCTCAGTTTTCCCATTTAATTAAGAGACAGTATCTTCAGTTGAGAAAGAGATGGGAGGAGGGGAAGTGAGTAGATGACTTGAGGAGGAAAGAGAAGGTAAGTATTAGCTAGCTGCAAGGGATCCCTCACTGTGGAAATTGCCTCCACTAGTGGAGATCAGCTATTCATCTGTACCTGTTTAAGAGAGTTGCCTGAGTTGCTGAAATTTGGCATGACTTACTTGCTAGTATGGCACCTGCAGGATTTGAACACAGGTTTTCCTGGTTCCTAGGCCAATCGTCTATTCACTCTGCCCCATTACCTCTCATCTCTCTTGTACAACTGAGGAAGTTAAATTCCTTCACCTAAACTATTTTCTCATTTTTTTTTAAGCCTACAGGAAGAGGAACTTCCACAATTCTTTTTGTTTGCCAACACAGTTATAATCTGCTAGGCTGATGGGAAGTGAGCATAGTGTGTTTCAGATGAATAATTCACTTCTGGCCCCTGCAGATATTTCTTTGGCCCTGCTTTGTAAATGGCTAAAGTCAGTTATTCATTAGCAAGGTAAAAAAAAATGCCTAAATAACATCACCTAATAAAGTTAAACTGATTCAGATTTCTTGGGAGAGGAAGATAGTTTAACTCTTTGAAATAGAAGAACCTGTTTATATTTACAAACTAAAAGAGGACTGTATGTTTCTCCTTCTTAATAGCCTCCTGCTACCCTTATGTCTTGCAGAGCTCAGGCAGGGGGACAGTATTTTTGACATCTCTCTTAATTTTGGGCTGAATTTGATGTCCCTATGCTCCCACCACAAACATTTATTCCTTCCAGTAACTGTCGTTCTGTTATAAGGGAAAATTTAAATGTGTATAGTCTAGATATTGGTATATTCCCTATGTTCTAGAACGAGTGATTGTATTTACTGTTACAAGGTATTTTCATTTCATGAAAGGCCATTCTTGATTAGAAAGAAAACTATCATTTGACTCGCATGTATCTTCAGGGTTTGCTTGTTCAAAAACACATAGGCTTATGATAGAAAATAAAACCTTTAAAGCTAGTTTCTGCCCCTCCAGCCTGACATTTCTGTTATCTTGTGATAGATTTCGGTTTCCTGTGCCTTTCATAATCAGACCTTTAGACTGCATTCTGCAGACTCATTAGATTTTTATCCCCAAATTCTAGCAGCACTGCAACCAGTGTTTCTTGAACATCAGTATCTCTTCACTTTATATCATTGACACAGAATTGTTAATACTTGCTTTTTATTCCTCTGAATCATAACTCCAGTTTTTGTTACCAAGGATACAGATACTTGCTTTTTTGGAGGAAAAAAAATGATAACCCCATTGCTGTGACCTCTTAGAGAATCCCTCTTGGCTAGTCTTCTACTAATGATGGGTTGAAAGTTTGCTTAATGATTGACTTATTTGCTCTGTAGTCAACTAGTAAGGAAGACAGACATTGATTAGGCACTTCCCCTCAGGATCAATAAGAGATTGGAAAATCCTGCTCAGTAGGGTATATATTATCTGCAATGCTTATTAAAGCATTTCCATGCTCTTCCTTGGCTTTCTTTCTTTTTTGTCTTTATCTCTTTCCTTCCCTCTCTTCCCTCTTTCCTTCATTTATGTATCTTTGCTTTCAGTTGTCATTAGAAATGAGTCCTTATCAATAATTAGTTTGTCTTGATTGTGTAGTAGTATTAAAAAAAAAACCAGTAAAAAAAAATTCAGTCTCCAAATGGAGGCACAAATATTCAGCTTTATTGTCATTTGTGTGCATTGGAGGCAGTTGCTTAAGGGACCACCCTGTGCTCATGAGAAACTTCCTACACAATCAATAAGTCATCATTTACAGGGACTGTTTGTTTTTATTCTTTGTGAATATTTTACATTGACTTATATGTTTCTCCATACTACTTCAGTCACTTTATAGATGAGGACATCAAGGTACAGAGAAAGAAGAGCATTTTCTAGACCAGCAAGGGAAGTTAGTGGTAAAGCTGGGTGTTTTTTGTTTCTCTGATTGTAAATCCTCGCTCAGTTGTTGACTGATCTAATGTTGCTTCGTTGTTGCTGGAACTGCGTAAGGGTATGTAAGTTTTTCCAGATCTCTTAGTTCTGTGCTGCCAAGAATATTAAATTAATTCTTGCTGATTGGAGGGAAACAAATGAAAAGACCTAGACTTAGTGTTGCTATTAGTAGTCAGGACAGGAAAGACAAGAGATGAAACTGAATGCTAAGTGTAAATACACAGGCTTAGATAAATGATTCTCCACCATCCTTCTGCCAAGGACTACTTTGTGAATGTTCTTTCTGTGTTTCTGCCTCAGTTTCCTCTTTGCATCTGTCCCATAGTCATTCTACAATAGTTTCAGCACCCTCTTCTCATTTTCTTCTTTTCCCCTACAGAATAACTTCTGTTATGGGAGAAATGAGAAAGTTAGGGATTATAGAATTAGTATTGCATGATCTTCTTTCCACTAAAATTCCTGATTTCATTCTGTCCTCGTTTTTCCCTGATTCTCTTCCTATTCTGCATATTTGAGGCCTGAAGATCCATATGCTTCCCAGTATTTTCCAGGAGCTGTTGCATCTCTCTATGGCAGGCATGGACAAGAAGATATATAGGTTGCCCAATTTCTGCTAAAAAGTAATTTACACTTCCACCTAAATTTTATGTGATAACGCAAAAAAGCTGCCAAATGTTCCTCTTCTCAAAATCCAGAGTCAGAATCAGGAAGAAAGATCCAGCAGACGGAAAAATGAACATTCACACTCACTTAACTCTTAAAATGGTGGCTTAGGTCAGTGGAATTTTATCTTCCACTTAAAAAATGTAAGCATTTGTTGATTGTTTGTCATTTAAAAATTTTTTTGTTTAGGTTTTTTGGGGTCTCTTTTCTTGGCACTAATACATAAAATTCCTACTAAATAGCAATGAAGAGATTTCTTAATGTTGCCATTTGAAATTTTTCAGGCTGCTATCCTTGTCCAGGGCCAAACATGAATCCCATTGCTCTTGGAAGCCGCTGGCTTGCATATGCAGAAAACAAGGTAAGACGGTTACAAGTTAAGAAGATTACCTTACTTGCAAGAGCCAAGTAATATTTTCCATACCAGTCAAAGCAGTACACAACTATGGCTTTTTCAGTTTTGAGTGTTAATCATTCCAGCCCTTTCTCGCTATTCTGTGCTGCTTGTAATCTTGTAGGGTTTTGAATTAGATAAAGAATTTTAATTTTATGTGTCTTAACAGAGAATTGGAATTGGGACTAGGTCAAGGAATGCTAACGCTTTGGTAATAAAAAGCCATCTAGAGTGCTCTTCAATCAGTCCTTCAAAATCATAACAAAGTTATCAACATTTAAATATACTTTTAGCATTAATTTTTGATTTGATTTGAGGGTGGCAGTTCACTCCTATTGTCTCTATCAGTAAATTGGGGAAACTGAGGCAATTGTTTCTATCAGTACTTGAATCTTTCTCCAAAGTCAGTACTTTAATCTCTTGTCAAAGCCACATTCAAACAAGGGTCAGGTCTTAATTATTTAGATAACTAAAGTCATGGTTCTCCAATTAAACTACCTAGGGGTCTGGCTAGTCCTTGGATGCTGTTTCTGGGAGTGGAGTCTCTTTACGCCCCATCAAGGAGTTTGGCTGCTGGACAAAGTTTCTTTCTTACAGAAACTGTGTGTTTATTGTTTTTCTTCCCTGCTTGTTATCTTTCCCTAAACAGTAGTAGAAAATTCTTCTCTGAAAAATCATTATTTTCTATGGCATCAAGGAACTTGAATACTAATAAATTTAGCTTACAGCCAGTTGTTCTATATCTCAAAGATGACCAGTAATCCAATTTCATTTTTGCTAAATTAGAATGGTTACTATAAGTTAGGCACAAGCAGAAGTAAAGAGCTTTTGACAAAATAAGGATGTGGTAAGGAAAATAATTATTTGGTGAACCCACAGAGCTAGTAAATCCTTAGCCTCTGAAAATGCATCATTTTTTAAAAAAGCCCGTGTCTATGATAATTTTTTTTTTTTTTTAGATATCTTCAATTATATATTCAAATTTTCATTTGTGGCACATGGGCTTTTGGCATTTGACCCAGTGCCCTAGTTAGGTTATTCTTCTTGGCCATTTTCCAATTTAGTTTTCCTAAAGATACTCCTTTCTGAATTATTCTTTTCTGACTTTGTTGACCAATGGTTTACAATGCTGTGTAGTGACATAATGATGTCCTCTGATGTTCATATCTGTAATACATTTCTGTTGAGGGCTAGAGACATACAAATAGAAGGCTATACAGTGTCTTTTGGTGATTATAAATAGATCCTTATATGTGCCAGATTTTGCATATACATTTTGAAGTATTGTACAAATAATTAAATTTTGTGTGCATAGAGAAAGACTTGTGGACAAACTTGTAGACAAGATCATTACTCACTCTGCACCTTGGGTTCTTTTGTGAGAGCTCATCCTGGGGCAGACTACAGGCCCTAAGTTTAGGTACATTGCTGACGCTGCAGCATGATCAACTAAGGAAGAAATTGCTGCTCTGATACTGGTTGTGCTTTCCAGAAGACGCTGTTTTCTTCCTGCTAAGATGGATGGCCCTGGAATTCTATGGGCCCACAATAGCTAATCGTATTCCTTCCTATAGTTGTTTCTGAGCAATTACTTTTGAATGCCATTTTGACTGGGAGTTTCCAGATTAAACCAAATTCAGTGCTGGTGTAATTATCTTTATTTTAATTTACATTTGCAAATAAACTTTTATTGATATATTTTAAAATTACCAAAACTCCTCCCCCCATCTAGATCCCTCCCCGAGAGCTTTCCCACGTATCAGATAATATTTTTAGAGACAAAAAAGAGAATTGAAATAGGAAAAGAAATCAGCCAAACTGATCCAAACCTTAAAAAGGCTGAAAATCTGTGCAGCATACCTATCTTGTATTTCTTTTCTGCAGTGGTAGTTATCTCTAAACTAATACCAGTGAAGGTAATCTGAGAATTTCAACAATTTCCAAAGCAACTCCTTGATCTTGATTGACTTTCTGAGTAACAGGGAGATTGTCTTGCTTCAGTTTGATGGCCTATCATGACACCCTAGATGTGCTTTTTATAAAATCATGGTAGGTAACTTCAACTTTGGTTAGCTTGAGAGAAAAAGAACTTTGTCTTTTTTTTTTTTTTTTTTAACTCCAAGCATTTTTTTTTATTTTTTGTTTTCTAAGTTCCAGAAGCTGAGGGGAAAAAGATGCTATTTTCAAAGCCATGTTTCTCCCTGGATAGTCAGCAGGAGGCAGCAAAGAGATACAATTGCTCATATTTCTCACCCTACCAGCCCAGTGATTTCTTTTCAACTTCTTGCTCTCTGGTCTATTGTAATGAAACCAGACTTTCAGGTTAACCTTCTATGTGGTAATTTCTTACCAGTCACCCTGTGGTTCTAGTAAGCAGTTGTTTCTATTGAAAAATTTTAGAATAGGCCCCTTGTTAAGGATGGGTACAACATGTTAAATTCTGTTCAATGATAAAAGGATATTTATGCCAAATTCTGTATTTTATTCAAAAACTGGCATTGCTTTAAAAAAATTCTTGTTTGTAGTAATTGTCACTTCGACCATGTTTTTTGCTTGGTGTCCATGATTAGGACTGACACTTATGCTATAGGTTTGCTGTTATTTAATGATTTCATTGGCTCTCAGGATCATAGGTTTAGAACTGGAAGAAAACTTAGAGCTCCTGTCACCCACCCCCATCTTTTATAGAATAAGAAACTGAGAAGTGAAGCCACTTGCTTGGCTTCTCGCAAGTCTTCTGGTCCTCCTAGGATGCAAACCCAGGTCGTCTGATTCGAAGTCCTTTGGTCTTTCTATTGTGTTTCCTGGATCAATTTTCTTTTCGGGATGAAATAATGAAGGGTTCATGTATAACCAAATATATGTAATAATAAGCTCAGTTCTAATGAGGTGATTTTGGGCAATGACCATTTTCATATGGTAAATAGATTATCCAAGGGTTTTTTATTTGCTTTGTTATGTTTTTTACCCTAGTGGGGGAGTTGGTTTGTTTTGTTTGCTTTTTCTTCTTCCCTGTAAAAGTAGGATGAATGGAATGAAATTATTGCTTTCTTTTACTTTTCCTGACAATTTTATATGAATGAATTCTGTGATTTATCTTCAGGAATTGTCAGCAATTTGAGTTTTTGAATCAAGAGAGCTTTATGACATTTTAAACTACTTTCTTATAGTCAAAGCAAGAAGTACTTTGTACTCAGAAAATCACTAAGAGATTTGTATACATAGGGCATGAATAAGCAGAGTAAACTGAGTTGCAGGTATCAATCTTTATCTCTGTCCCTTTCCAATTCTCATTCAGCACCAAAGCACAGTTGGAAATGGACATATGGCAAATTCTTTACCATTTTTAAAAAACGAACTTGGGGTAGTTAAAAAGAAAAGAAAACTAGCTTTATCCTAATTCCTAGAATGTAAAATATTTAATGTTACAAAGACATGGCTAAAGCCTTTGATTATATTTATTTAAATTTATTTGTGGTGAAGCTGCCAGACCCCAAATCCTACCATTTCAAAGTTTATGAATTCTTAGGGAGTACTCATCTTGTAATTGAAAACCAGAGTTGAGAATGCAGCTGTCTGGGTGGCACCCAGGAGGTGATTTTTAAAAAGCTAAAGTGTCTCAGCAGGGCTTTTTTTAACTTTTTGTTTGAAAAACTGTCCCCCACACCTGCACACACACAAGCACATATGTATGGTAAGTAGGCCCCATGTTAATAGGTTGTGGAGTTGTAGATTTTAATAGTGGTAACTTGCTGGCTGTATTCTTCTAGCTGATCCGGTGCCATCAGTCCCGTGGTGGAGCCTGTGGAGACAACATTCAGTCTTACACTGCCACAGTCATTAGTGCTGCCAAAGTGAGTATCTTTACCACCCCTGGGAGAGGTGATCATATTGGAGAGATGCTCAAGTTTCTCTCCTGGACTCTGTTGAGGCTGCCCTTTTTTCTTCTCTTTCTCATATGAAAGAAGAACTGAAAAAGTCAGGCAGAATTGTTTGGCCCCTCATAAGAATTGCTGATTAAATGATGTGATATTTGATCCCTCTATGTTCTATGCACTTTGTTTTCTCCAGTACCAATTGCATTATTTCAGTTTATCATCTTATTTTATAGTTCTTTTCAAGGTCTTCTGTTTATTTCAATTGATACAACTTTTGAAGGAAGCCTTATATTTCCAAAGCAGTGATACTTTTTCATTTCTTTTGTCCATGGTTTCCATGTACTAGCTACATGACAGCATCCCTTTACATCTTTGAAAATTTCTGAGTTTTCTTGATGTGAAAGAAAGAACATCCTTTGGGAAAACTTTAACCAAGCCACTAGAATATCCAAAGGTTCTTTCATATCAAATAGCCTTTTTACCCTAGTATTTATCAAATGGGTTCTTTCTACTGGGGGGATGGGGTAGGGGAAAGCAAAGGAAAGAAAAAGAAAGTGAATTTGTATATCGGCTGGCCAAATTCATGCTCATTTCAGTATTTTCTTATGGCTGCCATCCTTTTGAGTTGTGAAGTATGCAATCAAGCCCTTCTAATAATAGGGACTAAAATGTGAATCTGCATGACAGCATGTAATGGAAAGCACAAATATACAAAAGAAAACAGCAATTTAAACAACCCACAGAAAAGAAATCAAAAGTCACGCAGTGTCACGTAAAGCAAATTCCAACTTGAAATGAAAACAATTTTAAGACTGAACAGAAATACATAACTGAGGCATTTTTGAGTTTGTCCTATGGGTGATTGAGAAAAACACTTCCCATTTTTAAGTCATTGAAGTCCATGCTTAGCACTCTACAATCAAGACTTTCAAGCCTTTATTAAAGATGAATCCTTCCAAACCTCCCCTCTCTCAGCCCTCTCCTGGCCACCATGTGAAAATAAGGCAGCTTATTCTTATTGACCAAATTCAGCATAGTGAATAAATTCACTTGCTGATTCTGATGACACATTACACTCATAGGATCACAGGTTTAGAAGGAAACTTAGAGATCATCTGGTTGTGCCCATCTCTCTTTGCAGTTTTATGGTGAGGAAATTGGGCCCAGTGAGGTTGTGAATTTCACAAGATACATATCCTCTGACTCCAGACCCTGTGCTCTTTATACTAGACCATCTTCATCGCAAGCATTACACTTTTTTCTTTTTCCAGATGCCTTGCATGTGCTTTTCAGGAAAACCCTTTATGGTATGAGTCTGAATGCTGTCACCTGTAGCATGGGAGATAGTTTTTCTTCTCTTTCTTGACAGAAATATCTAGACTTTTTTTTTTTTAAACAAATGGAGAGTAAGATTGAATAGTTGACCAGCTCCTGTAAATCTGTTTTCTGTGGACATGCTTGAGTGAAGAAAGACACAATATGTTTCTGAAAAGAGCAAGCTGAAGCGTGTGTGTGTGTTTGTGTGTAACTTTGCAAACTGTGAGGCAACAGGAAGGAAGATGCTCTGTGGGACCTGAGACGTTACTCCGAGCCACACATGAACATTTTAGGTCCATTTTGATTATCCTTAGACCAGACTCTCTGGCAGTTGGATCACAGTTAACCCCCCTAACCCTGACCTGCTCTGTACAGCAGCACTAGCATGGTGGAGGCTGGGAGCAATATAACCTTAGCTCATACATTTTAAACAACTTTAAAGGTCTCGTGTTTGGCCAGTTGGCACTCAGACTTGTGGAGTTCTTTCTTGACTCATTATTCAGTCCAGTGTGAACTCCTTGGAAAATCCCCTATAGGAGAAAAGGATTTCATTTTAACTAGGTGGACCTAGCCAGTTGCTTCCCTAAGATTAATTTGCCCTTATGCTATTGATATATCACCACTGTCTCTATACTGGGGGACATAAAACTTTCCCTTTAGTAATAAAGCTTCTTTCCCTAACATTATAGGGACTGTGATTTGGATAGACAGCTATCAAACTGTACAGGAAGTATTAGAAAGTTGAAGTGATGTGATTCTCTTAAGTGGATGTTTCCCCCTAGCTGTCTAATCTGTGGCAGCTTATTGAAAGCTTTCCTTTGAGGTGTATTAGGTATCTGAAGTACAGTTCAGTTCCATGATGTTAAGTTTTACTTTTACTGGCTTTTAAGATGGTACAAGGTACAAATACTTTGTCGCTGGGTGGCAACCAAATCAAAATAACTTCTCATTAGGGAAAACACATTTCAAGTATTTTCTGATCTCTGACCTTCATTATATACCATATATCTTGCTTGTACTTAAATAAACTTTCGGACACAGTGCCTTAGTAAGGTCTTACCATAATGGAGCAATTTGAGATTCATCCTCTTTGTTAAATTTCCTGAAAGTCTATGGTTTTTGAAAAATTCTGTGCTCTACATATTGATCAATATTTATTTTTGTTTTTCCTTTCAGAAGTAGACTGCTTTATAGTTCTTGTCTTTTCATCAGATGCAGGAGGTCAACTGCTGTGTTAGTTATGCTTTCATTTTACAGCTTCGTTTTGTTTTCTAATTAAAAGAGAGTGCAGATCTCTCTACTGTATCATCAGAAGGATAGGTATTCTTTTGTAACTCTTTTCACTTGGCTCCAAGTAGGTTTTATTTGATGGAATTTCTTTTATACAAATTTTAATGGTGCCTTCGCTGTTACAGCTAGTAGAGTGTAGGGGCTGTCTGTTAAGGGCAAATTTATTTTTTACTTTTTATTTTTTATTTTGGCTAGTCAGTGGGGTTAAGTGACTCGCCCAGAGTCACATAGCTAGTAAGTGTTATCTATCTGAGGCCAGATTTGAACTCATATCCTCCTGAATCCTCCTGAATGAAATAATGAAGGGTTCACGTATAACTAAATACATGTAATAATAAGCTCAGTTCTTATGAGATGATTTTGGACAATGACCATTTTCATATGTTAAATAGATTAGCCAAGGGTTTTTTATTTGCTTTGTTATGTTTTTTACCCTAGTGGGGGAGTTGGTTTGTTTTGTTTGCTTCTTCTTCCTCCCTGTAAAAGTAGGGTGAATGGAATGAAATTGTTGCTTTCTTTTACTTTTCCTGACAGTTTTCTATGAATGAATTCTGTGATTTATCTTCAAGAATTGACGGCAATTTGAGTTATTTGCATCAGGAGAGCTTTATAACATTTAAAATTACTTTCTCATATTCAAAGCAAGAAGTACTTTGTACCAACTTAGAAAATCACTAAGAGATTTGTATACATAGCTACTAAGTGTTATTTATCTGAGGTCAGATTTGAACTCATGCCCTCCTGAATCCAAGGCCAGTACTCTATCCACTTCTCAACCTAGCTGCCCCACCCCTGATATTTTTTTCCGGGCCATGGTCTGTACTCCCTCTGTTAATGTTTAGTGCTATATGTGAAAGCATAGATATATAAGGAAATGCTTAGTTTCATGTTCCAATGGGTTAATTTATGCTTGATTATATGAGAGTTCAAGGATCTATATTAATCTTAAATTCATCTATATTAATCTTAAATTCATCTTTCTACACCAGAGAAATGTCATCTTATACATTGTGCATTGCTCTTAAGTAGGAAACAAAGAGTAACTCTTTCTGCTAAAGTCCTTACAAACCCTCCTACTAACCTAAGTTCGGGAACTCAGAACTTGATTTTTTTTTTTACCTTTATCTCATACTTGGGATTATTCACCTTGTCTCATCAATTCTTTCTTTCTAATGTTTCTAAAGACTATCTCTTTTTTTTCAGTCCCATTGCCACTGCCTTTTATCAGGCCTTTCTTCATTCTGAAACTATGTGAGAAGTATGGAATAATTGGAAAAAGACTGAACATGGAGTCAAGAGACATTGGTTCTTCATTTTCTTCCTTCTCTCCTCTTAAACCTTTTCTCCATCAAATCATTTGCCAAATCCTATTGATTTTACTTTAGCATCTCTCCTCCATTTTGTTGTTATGCTCCTTGAGAAGGCTACCTACAGTAGGTGATTCCCACTTCCTTCTGTCTTCTTAACTCTTTGCCATCTGACTTCTGAACTTATCATTCAAACTGCTCTCTTTAAAGTCATCTCTTGGGGCACCTAGGTGGCACAGTGGATAGAGCACTGACCCTGGATTCAGGAGGACCTGAGTTCAAATCCGGCCTCAGACACATAACACTTACTAGCTGTGTGACCCTGGGCAAGTCACTTAACCCCATTGCCTAGCCAAAAACAAACAAGCAAACAAACAAACAAATAAAATCATTGCTTAAATGCCAAATCTGCAGGTCTTTTCTCAGTAGTCATTTCTGTAGCCTTTGACTATGCCAGTTGGTCACTGTCTTCCCCTTGATACTCTCTTCCCTTCAGGTTTTCATGACACTGCTGGTTTCTCTACTGATTTTCTTTCTGCCTATCTTACTGCTCCTTTTCAGTTTCTTTTGCTGGATCTTCATCCAGATCGCATCTGCTAACCCTTGATGTCAGGCAGAACTCTGTCCAGGGAGGACAGCATCTTCTCCCTCCTAACTATGTCAATTGTTAATCTCATTGCCTCCCATGGATTTAGTTATCATCCCCATGCTGATGATTTTCAAATTTCCTTATCCAACTTTACACTTTCTGCTGACCTCCAGTCTCATATTTCCACTTTTGAACATCTCAAACTGTATGTCCTGTAGACATCTTAAACTCACCATGTTCAAAACTGATATTATCTTTCAACCAATATCAATATCTCTCTCCCCCCCAAACCTTCCCCTCTTCTTAAATTCCCTATTGCTCTTGAGGGTATTACCATCCTTCTATTCACACAGGCTCATAACCTAGCTGTCATCCTCAACTCTTCACTCTCTCCCATCTACCATTTTCAATATATTGTTAAGGCCTATCAATTTTTTCTTTGTATAGCTCTGTCATTCACCCCATGTTTCCTA